ATCCCAGCCACCAGGGGCATGGGTCATTCATGTCTCTGCTGATAAATATAAAGATCCAGGTGGTGATGTTTCCATCAACAAATGAGGTGGTGAAGTTAGGAAGGCTAGGGAAAACTGAGAGACCATCACATCTGTCTTTGTCAATATGTCAATCCCAGAGGGTTTGATGGACAGAAAGTGAGGGCAGAGGGTTCCAATTCTTTTCATCCTATTGACTAAGCAGTCCTTTACAAAATGCATCTATTCCTCATTGACCCAGAAAAATGACTGGAGAGCTTCCACAATTTCCCTGAATATCCAGGTCTCAAGAATGAGAGTAGTAGGGTGAGTTCGGAAGAAGCTAACAGGATCTAACAGGCCCTAAGCTGCAAAACAAAGGGAAGCAGAGAACAAGGTATGTTGAAAACGTTCAGATTACTTAGAGCAGTGATTCTCAGCCTTTCTAGACTGAACGCACCCCTTGGAAAGTGCCACTTCTGACCTTTCACTCACTTTTTGACTATAGAAAAATAGGGTAATTCTTCTGTTGCAAAGAACCCAGACAGGCTACAACAGGTCAAAATGTACTGGACACTATGGATTCCTATGTAAAATCTCTGGATTCATCTTATGAATCATGTAGGTGTTTGAACACCTAAACAGTGATAGTAGTGTATGGTACCATGTGGCACCCTTGAAAGAATCTTATAAAACCCCTGCTGAGAATCACTGATTTAAAGGTCTTAGCTTCAAGATCATTTTTGAGAATCTTTGTAGTAAATTCATAGATGTTAGGGTCTGAAGGGACCTCAATAGATCATCGAGTCCGACCCCCTGCATAAGTAGGAAAGAGTGCTGGGGCTAGATGACCCCAGCTAGATACTCATCTAACCTCCTCTTGAAGACCCCCAGGGTAGGGGAGAGCACCACCTCCCTTGGGAGCCCATTCCAGACCTTGGCCACTCTAACTGTAAAGAAGTTCTTCCTAATGTCCAGTCTAAATCTGCTCTCTGCTAGCTTGTGGCCATTATTTCTTGTAACCCCTGGGGGCGCCTTGGTGAATAAATACTCACCAATTCCCTTCTGTGCCCCTGTGATGAACTTATAGGCAGCCACAAGGTCGCCTCTCAACCTTCTCTTGCAGAGGCTGAATAGATCTAGTTTCTCTAGTCTCTCCTCGTAGGGCTTGGTCTTAACCATACGAGTGGCCCTTCTCTGAACCCTCTCCAGGTTATCCACATCCCTCTTGAAGTGCAGCGCCCAGAATTGCACGCAGTACTCCAACTGCGGTCTGACCAGCGCCCGATAGAGGGGAAGTATCACCTCCTTGGACCTATTCGTCATGCATCT